CTAAGCATTAGAGCTGTTGACCCCCTCCGCTGGGGGTTTCCTCCTGCCAGAGACACGCAGTCTGGTGCTCTGGTGCCCTGGTGCCCACAGTTCTATCTGAGGCGGCGAATCAGGCGTGCAGACAGGGCTCCGTGCTGGCGCCTGTGTCCCGGCTCTGGGTCCGGACTGGCTCTTGGGGCACCCGCGGAACCCGAGTCTTTTCCAGGGAATGTCTGGGTAACCTGAGGTCGGTCCCAATCGTTTCCTGCTCTGTGGGGTTATCTCTCGACTGGGAAATCCAGTCTATGGTGTTGTGGGCCCACAGTTCAGTCTGGGACCGTGACCAGATCACGCTGGCATGTAGCTCTGGGCTGGTGACCAAGCGCCTGGCGGAACAGGGATCTCTTCCGCGGTTTAGCTGGTTGAGTTAAAGCTGATTGAATCCCCCACCGTGGGGTATCCTCTCACCTGTGATAAAACACAAGTGATTTATGGCCACGAGTTCTGATTGCTGGTCACTGTGCCAATCCTGCTGTGCTGCTCCTCAGAATGAGAGTCCTCCTGGCACCACTATCTTGCCCCGCCCCCGACATTCTTTAATTGCTGGTCAACACGCCGTGCTGAGGTCGTATGATGACTCTTAACCTTGTTTGTGTAATCTGTTGATAGTTATTTTGTAGGTTGTTGCTTTTATAATACAGTGATCATTGAATTTGTGCATATCTTTGTATACTTGGGCAATTCTGTCTTTAAGCTTAAACATATATTTTGTTTTTAATAATAATTGTAAAATAGCCCTATAAAAAGTTTTTAGTTTAAAGTATTAAACTGTCAACAGTGAAGGTTTGTTAATTTTTTTCTAAAGGTTTTGTTGGGTTCTTCAAGAAATAATGTTTGATTACCTGCTGTAGGTTCTAGGGAAAGTGTTGACAGCTCAGAGATTGGGCCATAGGAAATCTGCTGTTCCTTTGTTTGGCCTATAAAGGCTTATTAATGTTTTTTTATAATTAATAGACAAGTTTTTAAATTTCACATGAAAAAATCTCTAAATTTATGGCTTCATTTAAAGAATTGGTACATTTTCTATTACTGGGTATCTTTGTTCTTTCCCTGTTGCTGTAATAAAATATGCTGGCAAAATCAGTGTAAGGGAGGGTTGTTTGGTTCACATTGCAGTGATACAGTAGTCCATCATTTCAGGAAAAGTCAAGGAGGTAGCAGTTAGAAGTGGTTGGTCCCATTGCATATGTAGGCAGGAAGCAGAGAAGAGAGGGATCCGTCCACTAACGTCTCAGCTCATTTTCCCTGCTTTATACAGTCCAGGATCCATTTGTGAGGGAATGCTTCTGCTTACAATTGAGATGGGATTCCCTGTCAGGTAACATCCAGACTAACCTCCCAGATGCACATCAGAAGCTATCAGGTGACTCTGGATTCTGACAGGCTGATAGTCAACACCGCCCATCACAGTGGGAGAGACACATTTCCTCATGGTAACAGTTTTCTGGAGTTGAGAAGATCTTTCCATTTTTACATGATGCACAGAAATTATCACTGAACGTGACCCATACTTCTCCTGGGGTCTCGTATTTGTCGCTAGGCATTTGTTAGACCTTGTATGAATTTGGATTAATCATTTAATAGATACTCAAATTTAGAATGTTCAAACCTGACCTATATACAGCCATAAAATCTGTTCAGCCTTCCACTCTTCTCATTGCTCAGGCTCAAACTTTGTTGTTATCCTCAATTTGACTCTTATCCTATGAAGTTGGAAAATTCTGTATGATGACCTTTAAATGAGATTGAGTCTTAACACAGTGCACCTCAGATTTTGATCTCTCTCACCATCATTCCACCTACATTGTAGTAGTAGCCTTCTCATCAGTCTCTTACTTCTTTAAAGCTTTTTAAATATTTTTAGATATTTTAAAAAATTGTTTTTGTAATGCTGGGGATAGAACCTAGGGCCTTGTGTATAGGCAAACACTGAACTAAATCCTCCATCTGTAAGACTGGATAAAATTATTTCTGTGCTCACAGTTCTCAGTGTGTCTCATTTAATTCCACATTAAAACAGTTGAAGTTACCTAGCTTAAAAGGGAAATGTACCTTAGCTGTCATTACTGCACAAAGAGCTCCCTCCTCTTTTCACTTGTTCCCTCAAAGGTGTGCCCAGACACTAACGTCCATAATTCTTGACAGTGTCCAGAGGTTTGTCTCCTCAGTATTTCTAGATCAGTGGTTCTCAGCCTCCCTAATGCTGCAGCCCTTTACAGTTTATACAGTTCTTCATGTGTGGTGACCCCAACTATAAAATTATTTTTGTTGCTACTTCATAACTCTTAATTTTGATACTGTTATGAATTGTAATGTAAGCCTGTTTTTTCCAGTAGTCTTAGGCAACCCCTGTGAAAGGATCATTCAACCCCCAAAGGATTCACCACCCACAGGTATTAATAATTAGACCTGTCTTCTGCCATCTTCCAACTGCCACATGTCCTTATCCTGCCAGCCTGGTAGTGTCCTTCTTATATAGTATATATGACTTATTAATAGGTATTTGTTTTCTATACTAGGATATAAGGGTCAAGAGTTTTTGGTGTTAATTTGCTGTTATATCTCAGAAATAAGGGACACAGTTGGTACTCAGTGAATCTACTCAGTACACAAATAAATGAAGATATTGTATGTGAGAATGATTTTTGGCAAGGGTAAGCATATGAGATCAAGGTGACTTGGTTTTGAATTCTTTTTATACCACTACCTGGCTCTGGGATCTTGAATAGTATAGGTTTCCCACTCCCCTCTGGGTTTCTTTCTTTGTTTCTTACTTGGAAATAATTTTGTTGTAAAAAGGTGTGTAGCTTTTATTACTTGTAGAGATTAGAGATGATACTTATTAATGTCTTTGTATTTATAATAAACCTGCTAATACAAATCTCTTCCTATTCTTTGCTGGCTTGTAGCTTGCATTGCAGCTTTGTTTTGAAGCCAGCTATTGTACAGATAAATTAAATAACTAGTTTCTATAGTTGTTTGCATATATTTAAAGTTGACATGAAACATTCCAATATATGTATAAAATTAGTGTTTCTGAGCAATTGTTTTAAGATTAAAAAAGTTCTAATGTTTTTACTTAGTCATCATCTGGTTTGTTTGTCAAACATTTCCTTTTATTCTTTATCAAATGTTTGTCCTACTAATAAACAGTCTTATGAGCATATTACACATGAAAAAATTGAGGTGTGCAATATAACTAATAGTTTACTCTACTTTGTAGATAGTGAGGAAAAGAGAGGTTATGAACCCAAGCCATCTCACTCCAGAGCCATGCTTAGTTCTGAAGCACTAGTTGAGAGCTGTGGTGACATTCTCCCTTGCTGTAGATCAGTGGTTCTCAACCTTCTTATTGATGTGACCCTTTAATACAGATCTTCATGGTGTAGTGACCCAACCATAAAATGGTTTGGTTGCTACTTTGTAACTATAATTTTGCTGCTGTTAGGAACTGTAATGTGACTATCTGATAGACAGTATACCTGGTGCCACCCACAGGTGAGACCTGCTGGTCTAGAGCGAGCTGATGGCACCCTCTCCACTCCCACTCTCGACAGAACCCACCGTGAGCGCGCGCATCAGTGCTTGCGGTCAGCCCGAATTTGTATTTGCTGGGTCACACCTACATCACCTTTGAGAGGTGAAAGTTCTCTGAAGAGAACCGTGTGGCTTATGTCAGCAGTGAAGACACCTGAAAAATTAGAGTGTACGGCCATTCTCATATTTATCAAGGCACTTACTTGATCCATATGGAAATTTTTAGTAGCCCTTTTACGTATGCTGTGTTAGTCAACCTTAAGAAAGCAGTATTGTGAGGACTTATATTGGTATGTTTAAATGAATATGTGTAAAGAAATAAATTGTCAAAATTGTATAGAAAGAGAGGCTAAAATTAAGGTACTGGCTTGAAAATTTACTTCTTCCATTCTAAAATACTAACCAGGCACAACTCTGCTTAGCTTCTAACATTACGCAAGATTGGCCATTACAGGGTGGTATGGCTATGAACAAAATGTACTTCTAACAGTGCTACACAGGGCCTGGTTTCCATTTTATAGTTAGGAAGAGTATATTTGCAGCCAAAATATTTTTATAGTATACTGTCCATAATATGAATTTAATTTGTTTTGTAATTATCTATAATAATACGATGTGAGAGAGAAAACCCCAGTGTTGATCATTAGAAAATATAGTAATTAAGTTAATTTTAAAAACTAAAATCCAGGGATAGGGAGATAACTCAGTTGGAAAAGTACTTGTCATTTAAGTGTGAGGACCTAAGTTGGATCCAAGTTAAAAAATAAAACAACAACAACAACAACAAAAAAAAAAAAAAAAAAAAAAACTGGACATGATGGCATGTTCTTGTGATTCCAGCACCTGAGGAATCGCACCCAAGGTTGATTAGTGGCCTCTACATGTGCATATGTGCATGAGCACACTCAATCTTGACACATGAACACACACATCCACACATTTTATATAGGATGCTGAAGAAAGACTGTGTCTCTTTTGCTTTAGTTCTGAGCCACCCAACTAATAAAAGTCTCTTAAGCTGATGCTACTTGGATATCAGGTTTCTTCTCAGATGACTGGTGATTATATGTGTCTGTTTGCTATCTGGTAACTTCTGGTATATACAAATGGGCAGACATGAAAGTTTGTTTCTGGAAACTGTTGAAGCTCTTGAAGATTGCTGAGAAAGTGAACTATATAGGCATCAGGTCATGTGTATCTGACAAGTGTGATGTTTGTAGTCACAGAAATTCATATGACAGAATTCATATGGCCTGTATGACAGAATGATTTAAAACTCTGGCTTTGACAAAGATTGGCAGTGATCATGGATTCACTGATGAAAGTATATTTTCCTATTTTGTTACTTTCTTTTTAGCTAACTCAATTTTGATTTCTCATTCTTTCTTATTTCTTTCTCCTTTGCCTCCCTTTCTCCTACTCAGATTATCTAAAGGTACTGCTTAATTGATGAGTATCTTGAGAAAGTTTTCCAGTTTCTACTGTGGGGAAGCTGGAAACTGCTTTGGCAGACCTTGAAGGGAGTAGCGAAGGTTAGTCATCATACTTGTCAACTACAACTATCCTTGGCTCTGTGCAATCCAAAGAACTGCTCCCCAGACTCCGGGAGCTGTGCTTGAAGTTACCATTATTTGACTTTGTTTTAGGAATTGCAGCCATGAATGAAGAAAGCACGGATGGGACAAATGGATGCAGTAAAGTACGGACTGGCACGCAGAATGAAGCTGCATTGCTGGCTCTCATGGAAAAGACTGGCTACAACATGGTCCAAGAAAATGGGCAGAGGAAATTTGGTGGTCCTCCTCCAGGTGGGGGTTTGCTTATATGTGTCAATTAGATGAGGTGTGTGTCCCCACAAGCATCCCAACCTGTCTCAGTCATGACTTGTGACTTTGAAGAGATTATGCATTTGTTTAAAACCTGCTCTTGTTTAAGAAGTGATTGAGAAAGAACTTGGTTTGGATTGAGAAATAAATCAAGTTTCAGGGTGTCGGGAAGGGGGAGTGTACCCAAGGTGTTAAAGACAAGTCGTTTGGGGAAGAATCTGAAGGAGCAGTGCTTAGAGGCGTAGTATTTGTACAAGTTTCAGGTAGACAGTGTATCTTACACTCTAACAATGTGTTTCCTTTGCCGAGATCGGAGTGACCAGAGACTCTGGCTTCCAGTTCTGCAGTTGCATTACTTGCTACTGCTCTCCCCTATCTGGTTCCAGTCAGGCACACAGGAACCCATCTTCTAGTTTTCTCTTTTTTTAATTAAAAATTTTGTAGGGATTTTTTATTTATTTTTTTATTATTAGTTACATTTTATTAACTCTGTATCCCAGCTGTATCCCACTCCCTCATTCCCTCCCAATCCCCATCCTCCCTCCCTCATCTCCTCCCTGCCCCTTTCCTAGTCCACGGATTGGGGAGGACCTCCCTCCCTTTCATCTGACCCTGTTTTATCAGGTATCTTCAGGACTGGCTACAAAGTCCTCCTCTGTGGCTTAGCAGGATTGCTCCTCCCTTGGGGGGTGGGGAGGTCAAAGAGCCTGCCATTGAGTTGATGTCAGAAATAGTCCCTGTTCCCCTTACTAGGGAAAACCAATTGGTTACTGAGCTACCATGGGCTACATCTGAGCAGAGGTTCTAGGTCATATCCATACATGATATGGATATGTGAAGTATCAGTCTCAGAAAAGACCCCTGTGCCCAGATATATTTGGTCCTTGTCAAGCTCCTATCCTCTCCACGTGATACTAACTCCCCTTCTTTCATATGATTCCCTGCATCTGCCGAAGGTTTGGTTATGAGTCTTAGTATCTGCTTTGATACACTGCTAGGTAGAGTCTTTCAGAGGCCCTCTGCGGGAGGCTCCTGTCCTGTTACTTTTTTTCTCCTACATCTAATGGCCATCACATTTGTCGTTCTAAGAAGATTGATCATCTTACCCCAGGTCTTTCTTGTTTATCTTCTTTAGGTGTATAGATTTCATTATGTTTATCATATCTTTTTGTTTTTTATATTAATTACAGTTTATTTGCTTTGTATCCCAGCTGTAGCCCCCTTCCTCATTCCCTCCCAATCCCACCCTCCCTCCCTCATCTCCCCCCTTTCCCTCTCCAAGTCAGCTGATAGGGGAGGTCCTCCTCTGCTTCCATCTGACCCTAGCTTATCAAGTCTCATCAGGACTGGCTACAATGTCCTCCTCTGTGGCCTAGCAAGACTGTTCCTCCCTCGGGTGGGGGAGGTCAAAGAGCCAGCCACTGAGTTGATGTCAGAGACAGTCCCTGTTCCCCTTACTAGGATACCCACTTGGATACTGAGCTGCCATGGGCAACGTCTGAGCAGGGGTTCTAGGTTATAACCATACATGGGCCTTGGTTGTAGAATCAGTCTCAGAAAAGCCCCCTGTCCCAGATATATTTAGTCCTTGTGGAGCTCCTGTCCTCTCCAGGTCTTAATAACTCCTCCTCCTTTCATATGATTCCCTGTACTCTACCCAAGGTTTGGTTATGAGTCTCAGCATCTGCTTTGATACACTGTTTTTCACAGTTTTTCAGAGGTCCTGTCCTGTTTTTTGTTTTCTCCTACTTCCAATGTCCATCCCATTTGTCTTTCTAAGTGAGGATTGATCATCTTACCCAGGGTCCTCCTTCTTGTTTAGCTTCTTTAGGTGTACAGATTTGAGTATGTTCATCCTATCTTTTAGGTCTAGTATCCACTTATAAGTGAGTATATACCATGTGTGTCTTTTTGGGCTACCTCACTCAGGATGATCTTCTCAGGATGATCCCACCATTTGCCTGAAAATTTCATTATTTCCTTGTTTTTAATTGCTGAGTAATATTCCATTGTGTAAATGTACCACAATTTCTGTATCCATTCCTCAGCTGAGGGACATCTGGGTTGTTTCCAGATTCTGGTTATTATGAATAAAGCTGCTACAGACATGGTTGAACAAATGTCCTTGTTGTGTACTTGAACATCTTTTGGATATATGCCTAGGAATGGTATAGCTGGATCTTGAGGAAGCACTATATTCCTAGTTGTCTGAGAAAGTGCCAGATTGATTTCCAAAGTGGTTGTAGAAGTTTACATTCCCACCAGCAGTGGAGGAGGGTTCCCCTTTCTCCACAACCTCTCCAGCATGTGTTGTCACTTGAGTTTTTTATCTTAGCCATTCTGATAGGTATAAGGTGAAATCTCAGTGTCGTCTTGATTTGCATTTTCCTGATGGCTAAGGATGTTGAACATTCTTTAGGTGTTTCTCTGCCATTCTATATTCCTTTACAGAGAATTCTCTGTTTAGCTCCGTGCCCCATTTTTTAATTGGATTACTTGCTTTTTAGCTTCTTTAGTTCTTTATATATTCTGGATATTAGCCCTTTGTCATATATTGGGTTGGTGAAGATCCTTTCCCAGTCTGTAGGCTGTTGTTTTGTTCTAACGACAGTGTCCTTTGCTTTACAAAAGCTTTTCAGTTTCATGAGGTCCCATTTATTGATGGTTGATCTTAGAGCCTGTGCTGTTGGTGTTCTGTTTAGGATTTGTATCTTGTGCCAATGATTTCAAGGCTCTTCCCCACTTTTTCTTCTAACAGGTTTAGTGTGTCTGGTTTTATATTGATGTCTAGGGGGACATAACAGACACTGAGAAAATTCAAACAATCATTAGGTCTTGCTACAAAAGCCTATACGCCACAAAATTTGAAAATCTAAATGAAATGGACAATTTCCTGGTAGATTCCACTTACCAAAACTAAATCAAGATCAGGTAGAAAGATTGAATAGTCCTGTATCCCCCAAGGAAATAGAAGCAATCATCAAAAGTCTCCCTTTCAAAAAAAAGCCCAGGGCCAGATGGTTTCAGTGTAGAATTCTACCAGACCTTCAGAGAAAGAGCTAACTCCAATTCTCTTCAAACTATTCCACAAACTCTTTCTATGAAGCCACATTCACCTTGATACCTAAACCTCACAAAGACCCAACAAAGAAAGAGAACTTCAGACCTATTTCTCTTAATGAACATTGATGCAAAAATACTCAATAAAATACTTGCAAACTGAATCCAAGAACACATAAAAGATAACATTCACCATGACCAAATAGGCTTCATCCCAGACATGCAAGGGTGGGTCAGTATACAGAAATCCATCAATGTGATCCACCATATAAACAAACTGAAGGAGAAAAACCACAGGATCTTCTCCTTAGATGCCGAAAAAGCATTCGACAAAATCCAAAACCCATTCATGTTTAAAGTCTAGTTTTCTCTTAACTTCTCCTTTCCCAAATAACCCTTGTACTTAACTCTCTTTATTTCATTCAGGTCATTGCATAAACTTTATTCTCAGAGATTTACCTATTTTATTAATGGTAACATCTCTTGTAGTACTAAATTTTCCTCACCAAATTTTATTGTTTATACATTGTAACCTAGAGTTTTGTTAAAATAAGTTTCACAAGGGACAGGCGGAACTTTGTGTTATTCTAACACTTAGAATACTGCTTGCCACATAGGTGGTTAACAGCCAGTTTGTTGAATAAGTAAATGATTTAGTTATAAATACAGCTTTTTCAAATTTAATTTTTTTATATTTATCTATTTATTATGTATACAATGTTGTGCCTGCATGTACACCTGCATGTCAGAAGAAGGCACCAGGTCTCATTATAGATGTTTGGAAGCCACCATGTGGTTGCTGGGAATTGAACTCAGGACCTCTGGAGGAGCAGTCAGTGCCCTTAACCTCTGAGCCATCTCTCCAGCCCTAGAATTTAATTTTTAGTTTTATTTTCATTTTTCAGGTTGGGAAGGTCCACCTCCCCCTAGAGGCTGTGAAGTTTTTGTTGGAAAAATACCGCGTGATATGTATGAAGATGAGTTGGTTCCTGTGTTTGAAAGAGCTGGGAAAATATATGAATTTCGGCTGATGATGGAATTTAGTGGTGAAAATAGAGGGTATGCTTTTGTGATGTACACTACAAAAGAAGAAGCCCAATTAGCCATCCGGATTCTTAACAATTATGAGATTCGACCAGGGAAATTTATTGGTGTGTGTGTAAGCTTGGATAACTGCAGATTATTTATTGGAGCAATACCCAAAGAAAAGAAAAAAGAAGAAATTTTGGATGAAATGAAGAAAGTTACAGAAGGCGTTGTAGATGTGATTGTTTATCCAAGTGCAACAGACAAAACCAAGAACCGTGGTTTTGCATTTGTTGAGTATGAGTCACACAGAGCTGCTGCTATGGCCAGGAGAAAGCTGATTCCGGGTAAGATAGGCCTTTCAATGGCTGCTTTACATTAGCCTCATTATATTCTATAGTATACATTTATTATATATCATATGTTATAGAGCATTATTAGCAAGTATATAATGCCACATGAAGATAAATAATTGTTTTATTACAGAAGTAAATTAAATGACTATAAGGTACAAGAAATTGTTCTTACAAAATGAATTACACTTGATAATTATTGAATGTGTACATACTTTAACTATACTTTAATATGTATATAACTATGACTTTGTTAACTATGTCTAATAAAAACCCAGAGAGCATTATTTCATTATGTAGTCATCAATCTTTATGGTCTTGTTCATCTTACCAACTCTTAAATTCTGTCATAAGTTCTGATTAGCTTTGCTTTAGTAAGAACTTTGGTGTACATAGGCACAAGTGATTAATCAGATATATTGATACATGCTTGAGTTTCTGTTTAATCAGAGAAATTATTTTATGTAGCTTATATTTAGACTTATATTCTTAGTTCTAGTTACCTTCAAATCAGTTCATATATTTTTCTTTTCAGGAACGTTTCAACTCTGGGGCCACACCATTCAGGTAGATTGGGCTGATCCAGAAAAAGAAGTTGATGAGGAAACCATGCAGAGAGTTAAAGTTCTCTATGTAAGAAATCTAATGATCTCAACTACAGAGGAAACCATTAAAGCAGAGTTCAATAAATTCAAGCCTGGTGCAGTGGAACGAGTAAAGAAACTTAGAGATTATGCATTTGTTCACTTTTTCAACCGAGAAGATGCAGTGGCGGCTATGTCTGTTATGAATGGAAAATGCATTGATGGAGCCAGTATTGAGGTAACGCTGGCAAAGCCGGTGAATAAAGAAAATACTTGGCGACAGCACCTTAATGGCCAGATTAGCCCTAATTCTGAAAACCTACTTGTATATGCTAACAAGGAAGAGAGTCACTCCAAAACTCTAGGCAAGCCACCAGCTCTTCCCACCCGTCTCAACGGTCAGCATAGTCCAAGCCCCCCTGAGATGGAAAGATGTACTTATCCTTTCTTTCCTGGAACAAAGCTGACCCCGATTAGTATGTATTCTTTAAAATCCAATCACTTTAATTCTGCAGTGATGCACTTGGATTATTACTGCAACAAGAATAATTGGGCTCCACCAGAATATTATTTATACTCCACAACCAGTCAGGATGGAAAGGTACTCTTGGTGTATAAGATAGTCATTCCTGCGATTGCAAATGGGTCCCAGAGCTACTTCATGCCAGATAAACTCTGCACTACGCTGGAAGATGCAAAGGAGCTGGCAGCCCAGTTCACGCTGCTTCATCTGGGTAAGTTGAGAAGTGCTTGACAGCTGACATTAGAGAATACTGTGGTAGATTATGTAGTTGTTGATTTGAACTCGGAACATTAGTGCTGAGTCTCTAAATTTTATCTCAGTTCTCTGAGACCAGAGCAGGAGGACTACAAGTTCAAAACTCATAATTAATTTTCCTGAGACTTGGTCGGACTTGGTGAGAAGACTTGTATAGTCTTCTCACATTTTTCTTTTTAAGCACTACTAACCTAGAGGGAAGATCAGTTTTGGTTGTAGAGTTGGTTATAGTTCATTTTGGTTATAGTGCTTCATGACTTATTGTTTCTTAATGACTAATCCTCACTTGATAAAAAGTCTGACATGTTACAGAATTTATTACATGAACCAGTTTTTCATTCTCTCTTTGCATCTTTGGTAGTGTCTACACAATCAATTTTTAGTGGAAAGGGTTAGAGATTCATAAAATCACAAATGTTTCTTGCAGGTAATGTGTAGACATAGCTTTATGCTCACCAATCTGGAAATATGTTGTTATGACTCATGAAAGACAGAAAGCATCATTAAGAGATATCGATGATGATTCTCTTCAAATTTCATGTTTAAAGCACTCCATTTTCTTAAATGTTGTTGGGATGATTGAGAATTAGGGTATATAAAATATGCTTGCTTGATAGTCTGAAGAAAAAAGTATTATACCTCTCTAGAGTTATCCTAATTCTTACTATTCTTGGAGAGTCTTAGAGATTATGCACTTGTTCACTATGTTGATAGCATATTTTTATGGAGATAGAGGTTTGTCCATCCAGTTGTCACAGAAAGATGAGATTCCACATGGAGTCAGAAGCTCTTCATTAGCCTTTCAAGTCCCCTCTGGGGATGCTTTTAAATTTTACTATTACTGTTCAGGGATAAAAGTATCTGTGTGTCTTGTGATAGTTTCTATTGCTTTAATAAAGTACCATGACCAAAAGTAACCTGGAAAGGTAAGGTTTTGTATGGCTTACGCTTTTCATATCATAGTCTGTCACCAAAGGAAGTCAGCCCGGGAACTCGAGCAGGGACCTGGAGGCCAGAGGACTTGAAGGAACAGTGTCTGCTGGCTCTGTCCCCATGATTTGCTCAGTCTGACCATCAGCCCAATGATGGCACCATCTATAGTTATATATATCGTATATCAAGAAGTACACCACAGGCTTGCTTACAGGCCAATTTGGTGGGACAGTTTCTCAACTGGGAACCTTCTTCATTAATGAGTCTAGCCTGTGTCAAGTTGACAAAAAGTTAACCAGCACTCTGGCAGAGGTGTCCAACCTGTCACATTTTAACACAGGATTGTCATACACAAAGTTCACACTTGAGAGCTGCACAATTGAGGTTAAAATCTACCAAGCAAACCTCAATATTTAGAGTAAGTTTACGGTTTGCTGTTAGCAATACTGGGGTGTGTGCATTCCACGTGCCACAGGTTAGACACCTGCCACAGGTGCATGCAGATTGTTTAAATCTCTTATTTTGGATTGTACAAATCTTATATCAGAACTTTTCATTTAAAAAATAGAACAGTTTGTGTTTTATGTATTTTTTCTTGTTTCTGTTCATTACTAAGGAAAAATAGTTAATAGAATATTATTGGTATTTGTTAAAAGAAATTGTCCTGAGATGTAGCCTTAGCAGGTTCATGGCCCTGTATTAAATCCTCAGACTTCCAAAAAATATTATAGCAAACTCTGGAGAATATTAGGGCACAGTAACCAGGCCTGAGGCTGTAAGTAGGGAACTCCATACAACAGTGCCTACTGTGTTTGACTGGAGTCTAAATGGAGGCTGTTGAAAATAGTGTTTAAGGAAGTGGAAAATCAAGATGAAGAATCGAGGAAGCCTTGGTCAGAAAGTATATGGTCAGAAAGTATATGTGAGGTCTTTAAAGATCAGGGTCAGGAAATGTGTGTAGAGAGGAAGTGATGCTGTGTACCATGACAGTGGAGTGGCAGTGTTCTCACTTGTTCTTTCCCTCAGTGTTGCTGGATCCTTACTGTCAGGCCTTAGAGGGCTGCTGCCTTTCTTCCCGCTGTGCCTTGGGCAAAAAGTGAAGGATTTTATGCCACAGTTCAGGCTTGGGGTTAATTGGTAGCAATGATAGAGAGGTGATAGTGGGTAAAGTGTGTTCTCATATTCTAAGTCTACCAAACCCTGGTTTTGTTTTCTCAAGGTTTTGAGAGTTTGTTACTGATCCGTAAGAGTGCTTTAAATAGGGCTTTTAGTGCAATACATTCTTTGGCATCATTTTTTTAAATATACATTTTATTATTATTATTATTATTATTATTATTATGTTTTATTAACTCTGTATCCCAGCTATATCCCACTCCTTCATTCCCTCCCAATCCCCACCCTCCCTCCCTCATCTCCTCCCTACCCCTTTCCAAGTCCACTGATTGGGGAGGATCTCCCCCCCTTTCATCTGATCCTGTTTTATCAGGTATCTTCAGGACTGGCTGCAAAGTCCTCCTCTGTGGCCTAGCAGGACTGCTCCTCCCTTGCGGGGGGGGAGGGGGGAGGCCTGCCATTGAGTTGATGTCAGAAATAGTCCCTGTTCCCCTTACTATGGGAAACCAATTGGTTACTGAGCTGCCACGGGCTTCATCTGAGCTGGCACCATTTTTAAAAAGCATTTCAGAAATATAAGTTTGTAGAGAGTATGAGTTACTTAAAGATATTTTCTTTGGATATAGTAATTTTTTTTACAATTTGTGTTGATATTCCTTATAACCCTACCAATTTAGTGCCTTTTTGCAGTCAATGAGTCAGTGTTATCCAGTTTTATCTTGCTAGGTTTTTCTAATGACTTTTCTAAGCTATCCATTTACCACCAAGCTAAACCCAAGGGCTTCGACTATCTTGTATTTGCTGTAAACAATCCTTTAACTTTTATTTTCCATCTCTTCAGGAAGATGCTGTTAATATCCATATAGTTGTCATATAATCTTGAACTTGCAGTCCCCATTTTTGTTTATTACAAAACAAAAATTTTATTTTTGTTTATTTTTAATTAATTTATTTTTTATTAATTATAATTCATTCACTTTGTATCCCAGCTGTGGCCCCCTCCCACATTCCCTCCCAGTCCCACCCTCCCTTCCTTTTCTCCCATGCCCTTCCCCAAGTCCATTGATAGGGGAGGTCCTCCTCTCCTTCCCTCTGACCCTAGCCTATCAGGTCTCATTGGGACTGGCTGCATTGTCTTCTTCTGTGGCTTGGTAAGGCTGCTGTCCCATTAGGGGAGGAATAGGAACTAAAAGATGCTGTGTGTTTAAATGACCATCTTTGTTTGAAAAACAAAAACACCACCCTTTAGGGATAGGAGAGACCTGAATGACTATGAGAAGCCATGCTGTTCACTTCAAATAACTTTCCATCTGAGGAACCTTATAGCAGTGAAAAATGTAGAGGCAAGCTCTTTTCTGATGAAATCACTTTTGGAAAAAGAAGGCCAAGGAGAGGGCTAAAGTCCAATAGACACCTCTCCCTCCCCCCCAATTTTCACTCAAAATTAGAGTCTGTCTTTTCAGGTCAGAAAACCTTCCTTATCTGAGTCCTCTGGTGGGATAAGCAGTGATGCATTCATTTACTTATTATTAGAAATGAGTGCTTATCTGTAAAATTAGAAATCTAAATTTTATTTCATGTGAAGTGAGTAGGGTATATTCAGTGAGTTTACACACACACACACACACACACACACACATGTATGTATATCTAGGTTACTGAGATAGAACTTGTTATATTGGCTCAAACTTGACTTGAAATGACTTCTTTCTGGTTCAGCCTCCTGAAGTCAGCGAAGTAATGGGTCAAATGCAGACGTATAGGTTAGGATAACAAGTTCTGTATTTAATGTTTGGTCAGTGGAGGCATTTGAGATTATTCAGTATCACTTGTTTTGAATCTGGGCCTGTCAGTTCATTGCCATTGCTTTTCTAGATGATCACACGTTTAAAAAAAAAAAAAAGGTAGAAAATAAAGAGAAGAAAGAAGGTCTTGAATATGTGTTGCTTTGAGTGACCTCATTAAGTAATGTGTCAACAGATCACTCCAGACCAGGTGCGTCTTTCCCTCTTTCAGAGTGGTGGTAGATTTTTCTTTTGTGACCACTTCGTGTTTTCAAACAGGGATGAGATTCTCTGCTGGAAAGTCTTCTGTCACTTGAGGTAGCTTTGGTGATCTCTGGCAGATTTCGAGACGAGTTGAAGAAATTGAAAAGACGTGGCTTTAGTTAATTGAACTTTCACTAACCTTCAGCTTAAAACAATTTACAATATGACTTTCTAGGCTGTACTTGCTTTTGCTCTGAGCAAGTAATTTTCTAAATCTGGTTTGTAGAAACATTTTATGTATCAATGTTCATGTTTTTAATATCACTGCTTTTTTATCTATTCAGTCTGCAGCTGATATATATTGCATCTTTGATTTAAAATGACACATAGGACTTTATTTTTTTCTAAGTGTTGAATGGAATTTTGTAAATATTTTATTTTCTGTCTTTACATATAAATTAGGTTTTTATTTCTAGCTAGATGCTGAGGAAAAAGTATTACTGTTGTGAGGTTTTACATGGAAGAAAACTGGTGCTGTTATCTCATGAGCTATTATTTCCAGATTGATGGGCAAAATGTAAAACATAAGCAGGATTTTACATTTAGAAAATTTGTCAATTGTTTTAAAATGCAAAACTTTAGCTTTTTATTAAAAATATTTACTAGATATTTAAGCTAATTATAAAAGTGGTTATATTATAATGGAAGCTTTCATTATAAATAGAAGAAAATACTGTCAAAATGTATTCCTTCTAGATTTAAGTAGAGATCTTTCATACTGTCTCAAGTTGATATGTAAAAGAAGTTGAATTTGCTTTAAAATTCACCTTGTCTAATGAGAAGTAGCCATCAGTTTTAACATTTTACACAATTCATTTTCACATGACCAAATGATAAGACCAAAATTCCATTAACTCAA